AAAAAAAAAAAAAAAGTCTTCTACTGCTGAATTTTCTCAGCCTCTAGATTCAAGATGTAGCGGCCCATCTCAAATCTAAAATCTGCTTAGTGTCTGTTCGTTCCCCCAAAGTCTCTGGTGGCCCGTTTCTCTCTGGGCACACTCAAAGTGGGACTTGGGTGCATGCACCTACCATCGAAAGCAGGCTGTATACATCTAGGGGAATGCCTGTGGGGGGCAAGCAGCCCCAACCCAGTTACTGGCGMMTGTCATCAAGGACTGCCAGCAAAACAAGTGGGGACCACGTGCCCAGAAGAGAGACAGGCGCCCGTTTTCGCAGGGTGCCAGCCTGTCTGAAAGTAGAGTTGTGTGCTTTTTATTTTTATTTTTTCATGAATTTTTGCCCATTTTGGGCTAGATACAGGCACATTCCTTTGAGGGTACACTCAGACGAGCACCCTAAGAGCCTTAGCTTCTTCAACGCTCTATGGCTAATATAACTGCGAGTAGCCCCAGAATCTATAAGGGCCCCTACTCTACTTCTGAAAACCTCTACATCAACTAAGACTAGTTGTCCCTTACTATCCTTCTTCATTTTGGCCCATGCAGGCATCCTCTCCTTCTGCCACGCCTGTGAGGGAAGTGCCTAGAGGGACGCTAACACAAGCAGTCTCTGGACAACTAACTAGGCGCTGGCCTGCAACCTCTGCCGAAGGCTTATGTGGTGTGGGAATTTCCTGTTCGCGAGCACTCGCTTCCCCACATGGCCTTGTAGTAGGGGTAGTTGCAACCCCTACCGGTGGCTGCATTTTGACCCTTGGGCAGTCGATCGGGCCTCTCTATACTTTGGACAATATTTAATAATGTGGGCCGGGTCACCGCAATATATACACTGACCCTGGTCCACACGTTGCTGCCATACGCGCTGGTCCAGGCCCAAATCTTCCCATGGTCTGCCCTGCGACAAGCCTGGGTGCCATCCTCCTCTCCTTTGAGGTGATCTTCCACCTCTTCTCTGTGGCGACCGACTAAAATGTGAGCGATTTGGCGGGGGACCTTGACCCCTACCTCCCTCTTGGCGGTTCCTTTGGCCTCCAACCCCCTGTGCGCCCTGTCCTCGACCACCAAAGGTCTGGCCCCTCTGGCCCTGGCCTCCTCCTCTACCTTGCGACCTCCCTCCGGCCACGACAACAGCGTAGATCCTCCCCTGGCCCACACCACTATCATTTTCCTCATCTAGCCCCCACTCAATCTGACTGTAGGGGACCTCGTCGGTACCACCCTCGTCTAAAGTAAGGATCAAATGATCCTTTGCCCTAACTTGGCCCGAGATGGTCCGACCCTTCCCCTTATCTTAGTCCTTGTGCCAGAAAGTGGACACTGACATGGACTTCGCTTCGTACAGCACCACCTCTCTACTCAGAGCATCATACGTCATGGTGGGTTGTTGACTCTTGTCGGAGAAGTGCCCTCGTAAGGGCTCTAGCATGGCACGATAAAATAATTGGACCAGTTGGGCCTCAGTGACCCCGTGGTCTGGGAGGGGTACCAAGTCGTCCATAACTGCCTTGAGTACTCACGCACTCCTCCACTGTCGTGAATTGTCTGAGGCCTTGACGCCTCTCCTAAGATCAGCGAATCGCTCACGGAGGAGTCTGAAGAATTGAGGAAGGGGAGTGCCTTTTGAATAAACAACCATGTTGTTCTCACAACTAGCTGTGCGCGCTAGGGACCTGGCGAAACTGGCCGCATCATCTTTCAGGGCATGGAAGGCTACCAGGACTTGCTCCTCAGGTAAGATGTGTTGTAAATATACGTAACTATTAATAGTAGCCTCCCAGTTATCGAAATTTTCTTCGGATTTCCCGCCATACGCACCTGGGAACTTGAGCTTGGCAGGCTCTTTGTGGGGACGCGCTTCGGCCTCTGTCGTGGCCACTACTTTGGCGCCTTCAATGGCGCCTGCACAAAACTTGTCTGTGCCTTCTTTCAACCTCTTAACTTCGGTCCCGATGTGGGTCACCACGTCGCGCGCAAGCTCTCGAAATCCGGTCCGGATGGAATGGAGGGCCACCTCTTCGCCCTTATTGGCTTGGTGTTGTTCAATCCAGGCTTGACCCAAAGTTTCTAGATAACTTAGAATCTTGTCTAATTTGGCTTGGGTATCCTGCTGCGCGTGCACCTCTTGCCTACACAACTGCATCTTTTCCACTTCCTTGGCCATCCGGTTGGTCTCCTCCCTCCTTCTCTTCTTCTCTCTCGCCAGACGTAATTTCCACTCCAATCTCTTTTCATTTTCTAGCGTCTGGCGGTCCAGGGGATCTTCCATAGCTTCCATCTCCCTGGCTACGACTTCTTTCTCCTCCTGAGGCACATATAACATTGCCTCTTCGTCCTCTCCCAACGATAAATTAGCAACCCATTCGCTGACCTTCTTTTCCATCCACGCGTCTTCTCCCTTCGTGCCACTGCCCTCTCCTCTCTCTCTCCTCCGCCTCCTCTCGAAGGGTCCTTCTTCTTCTTCCAATTCTTCCTCCTCCTCTGCTTCTTCTTCTTCGACAACCCTCTTTTTCTCTTCCTCCTCCTGCTGCAATCTCATCATCTCCTCCTCCAACTTCTTTTTCTTCGCCGCCCGCTCCTCTGCGATTGCCTTTAACTTCGCTTGCTTGAGGAGCTCCTTCTTCTCCTTCTTCTCCCTGCTCTCTTGCATAATGGCGGCGGCTCGCTCTCCTATTCAACCTCTGATTGTGGAACAACACTCTTACCACTACGGAGGTCAACCATGGTGTCAGGTGCACAACCGGACAACGGTTCCACTCCTCACCACTTAGACTCTACCCCCTGACTGGCACGACCCACTGACTCAATCTAAGGACCACAGAATCCGGACATGATACTGTCAACTAGGGTCAAGCCTGGACCTAAACTATGGCTGTCACTACAGGACCTATTGCTGATCAGGAGGCATTTAAGGAGATCCCCCGTAACTCCTCAGGAATTGTTTAACGTCGCAGACAGGACGACGCGATCAGCAAGTCCTCTCAAGACTTAGACGACCTGTTGTGCAGCCCACAGCTCGGATTTTGGGCCTACCGTGCCACACTGAGCAGCCCGCCGGCCAGTACCGGTCCTTGGGAGGGTTCACGTCCTCCGGGACAGTCGAGTCGTCAGACACTGTCTTTAGCCCTACTCAGCCCGTGTGGGTTTGGTCAACAAGGCCCTATCCTTCATCCACAGAGTTCCTACACCTGGACAGAAGAGACTCCATGCAGAAAGAAGAGACAGGCAGACTTGACTCAGCAAGTACCACAGGGTGTGTGCACATCCATACGGCGAGGGGACAGGCTGAAGGCTTGGCCAGATTATACCGGCTCCAACTTGGTCAAAGTCGTGGTCAACAATCTTGGTCAACGCCTTGGTCAACGCCGGTCAATGCCTTGGTCAACGCTTGGTCAACGCTTGGTCAACCCCGGTCACCTCCCGATCAACTCCCGATCAACTCCCGATCAACTCCCGGTCAACTCCCGGCCAACTCCCGGTCAACTCCGCCGATCAACTCCTCGTCCGGCTATGGCTGCCGGCTTCCTCTTCTTCACCACCTTTCTCCTTCCTTTCTTCTTCCTCACCTCCTTCTTACATACTGGCTGTCTCTCTCTTTTTTTTTTTTTGTAATCTCTCCCTTCTCTTCGGCTATGGTTTCCCCTCTCTTCCCAGTCCCTCTTCGCACATCCTCCTTCGTTACTCCGTGGCTGAGCTCGGCGGCTATAGCCGCCCCTTCATTGTTGGACCGTACAACGCTCTTCAACAGGTACGTGACAACCAATCTTCTCTCTCTCTCTCTCTCTCTCTCTCTCTCTCTCTCTCTCTCTCTCTCTCTC